ATTTTTAATCCTCACCCGAGGATATTTTTCCATTGATTTTTAGAGAGAGGGAAAGACAGAGAGAATCATTGATGTGAGAGAAACACATTGATTGGTTGCCTCCTGCATGAGCCTGACCAGGGCCTAACCCAGGGAGAAGACTGCAACAAAGGTATGTGCCCTTGACCTGAATGAAACTTGGGACCCTTTGGTCTGCAGGCTGATGTGCTATCCCACTGAGCCAAACCAGCTAGGACAATAAAAACATATTAAAAAAAAAAAACTTAGTCAGAACTCACCATTGTTCTCTGTGTTAATCTCTTCAAATGATTCAATTTCTGTCAAACAAGCAGACAAAAATATTCTCTCTTAAGAAGGGCTGGAAATTATGTTTGTTTTTGTTTTTTTAATTTCTCACTTCGTATTCCAGTCCTACTGTTTCTCCTTTTTAATATCTCTCATATCTAGAGATAAACAATCCTGAAGGTAACCTATTCCCAGAAATTACAAGTGAAGAAATTACTATGGCCTTCTACTATAGTTTGATATCAGGGATAGTGATTTCTTCTACTTTGTTCTTCTTTCTCAATTTTGCTCTTGCTATTTGGGATCTTTTGTGGTTTCATATACATTTTTGAAATATTTGTTCTCATTTTGTGAAATATACCACTGGTATCTTGAAAGGAATTGTGTTGAATCTATAGATTGCTTTGAGTAAATGGACATTTTAATAATATTAATTTTTCCAATTCATGAACACGATATATACTTCCACTTATTTGTATCTTCCTTGATGTCTTTCTTCAATGTCTTATAATTTTCTAAATACAGGTCTTTTGCATCACTGGTTAAATTTATTTATAGGTATTTTATTCTTTTTGAAGCAATTGTACTGGTATAAAAACAGACGTATGGAACAGAATAGAGAGTCCAGAATAAACCCACACATTTATAGTCAATTAATATTCAACAAAGGAGGCAAAAAACCAACAATGGTTTTTTAATAGTCTATTCACTGAACAGTGCTTGCAAAGTTGAACAGATAAATGTAAAAAAGTGAAATTAGACCACCTTCTTATACCATACACAAAAATTAAAAAGGACTAAAGAAGCATCAAACAGACCATCAAACCTCAGAGGGAAAGCAGGGAAGGGTGGGCATAGGGGAAGGGGTAAGAGTTCAACCGAAAAACTTGTATGTATAGAAGCATAATTAATGGACATAGACAATAGGTATTGAAGGCCTGGGCTGGGGTGTGGGGGCAGGGGCGGGCTGGGAGAGGTCAATGGGGGGAAGAGGGGACATATGTAATAATTTCAACAATAAAGAATTTAAAAAAATTAAAGTTAAAATAAAAAGTATTTAAAGGATAGACTCAAAACCATAAAAATCCTAGAAGAAAACATAGGAAGTAAAATCTCAGGCATTTCACATAGCAAATATTTTTCTGATACTGCCTCAGGCAAGGAAAACAAAAGAAAAAATAAACAAATGGAACTAAATCAAACTAAAAATGTTTTGTAGAACAAAGGATACCATCAACAAAAATGAAGACAACTCACTGAATGGGAGAACACATTCACCAGTGATACATCTGATAAGGAGCTAATATCCAAAATTTATAAAGAACTTATAAACTTCCACATAAAAAAACACACCAATCCAATTAAAAAATGGGTCAAGGAACTGAATAGACACTTCTCCAAAGAGGACATACAGATGGCTAATAGACATAAGAAAATATGCTCAACAGCATTAATCATCAGAGAATGTCACAGTGCGATATCACCTCACACCTATCAGAATGGCTAGCATCAATAAATCAACAAACAAGTGTTGGAGAGCATGTGGAGATAAGGGAACCCTCATGCACTGTTGGAGGGAATGCAGACTTGTGCAGCCACTGTGGAAAGCAGTACAGAGTTACCTCAATAAATTAAACATGGAACTATCTTGTGACACAGTGATTCGACTTCTGGGAATTTATCTGAAGAATCCCAAAACACTGATTTGAAAGAATATATGCACCCCTGTGTTCATTGCAGCATCTATATATATATAAAAGCCTAAGCGGCTGTTATGACCAGTTGACCGAATGACCGGTTGACTGGTCACTATGATGTGCACTGACCACCAGGGGGCAGATGCTTAATGCAGGAGCTGACTCTTGGTGGTGAGTGCACTCCCACAGCCAACCTACTCTGGCCAGCCAACCTCCAGCAGCCCCTCCCCCCAGATGGCCACCCTGATCACCCCCTATCGGGACTGGGCGAGACAGCCCCGATTGGCCCTCATCACCTGCCAGGCTGAGGGACCCCACCCGTGCACGAATTTGTGCACCAGGCCTCTAGTTATTTATAATAGCCAAGGTTTGGAAGCTGCCCAGGTATCCATCAGTAGGTGAATGGATATAACAGCCATGTTACATTTACACAATGGAATACTACTCAGTTATAAAAAAGAAGAGAATTTTATCCTTTGGAACAACATGGGTAGGCCTGGAGAACATTATGCTAAATGAAATTAGCCAGCAGAGAAAGACAACTACCTTATGATTTCACTCATATGTGGAATCTTATGAACAAAATGAATTAACAATCAAAATATTGACAGACTCATAGAAAGCAGGCTGACAGCTGTCAGGTTGGGGAGGGTGGGAGAGAGGAGGGATTGAGCAAAAAAAAAAGGAAAGAAAGAAAAATAACTCATGGATATGAACACAAGTGTGGTGATTGCTGAGGAATGGGAGGTGGAGAAGGGCATATGGGGATAAACGGAGATATTATAAAGCTTCTGTCATTAAAATGGTATGAAATCCATGCATGAAGAGACAGTGACATAACACAAAAAGAGGAGCTATTTACAGTAACTTTGAAACCCAAGATTGTGACTGTGTGTCCTTAGTTGGATATATTCCAAGGTTTAAAAAAAAAAGAATATTGAAAAACTAACTAGCTATAAAATTTGATATTGTACTTCACATTGTTATACTGCTACTATTTTACTGTTATCTTTGTAGTGAGAGAAGAGGCAATTGAGGATTTACATAATTACCATTGAAAACCAGGAGCCTTGGCATGAGAAAAACAGGAAACAAGTGTAAGATCAATAAGGTTAGGTAAAAACCATATACTCCTGATTTAAATTGAAACTTACAATAATTTTATTTTAAAATATACACATTTCATAGCCTTGTTCTCTGAAACTATGTAAAATTGATGACTGACTGAACAGTAATGAGCACCCCTAGTAACCATGTGTGGTCTCTAAATACCATTTCACACTATGGCAATAAATCCTTCTCAGAGAATGGGTGATTCTGAGTACTGAGTGGAAAACTTAAAATATCCTAGGACATCTTGACACATAAAAAAGTTAGAAAGCACTCAAAGATACAGAAGTCAACGCAAAGAAACTTCCACCTGAGCAAAGATAGGATAATTTGAGCATCAATAGAATTACTATGGATTGACATACATTAGATATATTTTAATATATTAGTTCATAATAATTCTTTTCTTTCTCATATTTTTATTGATTTTAGGGAGGAAAGAAAAGGGAGAGCTAGAAACATCAATGATGAGACAGATTCATTGATTGGCTGCCTCCTGCACACCCTCTTTGGTGATCCAGCCCATGACCTGGGCATGTGCCCTGACTGGAAATTGAACCCAGATCTCCTGGTTCATAGGTCAATGTGCAACCACTGAATCATACCAGCCAGTCCATAATAATTCTTTTAAAATAGAGAAAGAAACTCATTGGTAACTTTGAAAAAGGGTAAGAAACCAACATAAATGGCAATTGACATTTACCCTGTATTTCCTATATGAACTATAAGTCAAGATAATCAAATTATTGATGGAACTTTTCTATTTATAATAGTATTTCAAATAATAAATGTAAATAAATGACTGAATTAGAATATCATCATTTTGTAGTTGTTATAATAAAACAGTGTTAAGTAAATATATTTACCTCCTGACATATTCACAAAACCAATAAACAACTTTTGCAAAAAAGAATATAACTAAATATAATTAAGCTTTTAAATTTAAGTACCATTTTCTGGGAAATATAGGAGATAGAAGAACATTATAAATATTACCATAATTGTGCAATCAGCAAATATTGTCACTCTTTAAAAAATAAATGTCAATATTTTAAAAAGAGATGGAAGTTAAAGATTAAAAATATTCAGGAGTCCAGGAAATAAGAATATGAGTGGCAGAAAGCAAATCAGAGGTTGCTTGGGGTTGGGGCTGGGGCTGGGAACAGAGATTGATTCCAAAAGGATATGAGGTTTCTTTCTGAGGTAATGGATATGTTTTACATTTAAATTGCACTATGGTGATGGTTGCACAACTCTGTAAACTTACTATCACTCATTGAATTGCGCACTTAAAATGGCTGAATTTTATGATATGTAAATTATACCTCAATAAAGCTCTTTTAAAAAGAATATATTCAAGAAACATTATCAACCAACTAAAGGCCCAATGCACAAAATGCGTGCATGGGTAGGGTCCCTGGGCCTGGCCAGCAATCAGGGCCGATCGGGGCCTTCCAGCTGTAGGCCAGGGCCTTCCTTCATTCCGCACTGTCCCCTGGTGGTCAGCACACATCATAGCGAGTGGTCGAACTCCCAGTCAGTCAAACTCCCAAGGGGACAATTTGCATATTAGCCTTTTATTATATAGGATTGCAATGAATAGAAATTATCTGGATACTGATTTACAGAAATTAATTTTTTTTAAATTCATATAAAAATTAGAGAACCAGGATCTGTTTTGTTCATCACACCAGATCCAGAGACATTGAAACATACAACAGACTGACATATATCAAGGGAGAGAAGTGTACAGGAAGAGATTAAACAAAGAACTAATATGCATATATGCATAGCCCATGGACAAACAATAGGGTGGGGAAGGCCTGGGGTGGGTCAGGAGCAGCGTAGAGAGAGCCAGTGGAGAAAGGGGGAGGAGGAATAAAGGGAACGTTTGTAATACTTTCAACAATGAAGTTTAAAAAAGAAAAAAAATAGAGAACCTTGACCACTGATTGTATACTTACGATTGATAAGAAATTATTTTTTAGATATGTTAATGGTATTGTGGTTATGTTTTTTGAAATGAATCCATATCTGTTAGAAATTCATACTCAAATACTAAGTTAAATGTGTTGACGAATGGCTTTAAAAAACCTGGAGCTAAAGTAGGTAGGTACTAATGGAGATAAAATAAGATTGGTCATAAATTAATAATTTGAAGCTGAGTGGTGAAATGTTGGGGCTTCATTATGCTATTCTGTCCTCTTTTTTATTTTGTATTTTTT